GCCAGAATGAGGGAAGCGCGCTTTCACTGTCGACTCCTCACAGGCGGAGTGCATCTGGCATCACTCCGCCTGTGACAGGAGCCAGCGCTATAGAGGAAGGATCAGCTTATGCAGCTCTGCTCCCTCCGCTGCCTGGCTTCTCTATAGTGCCAACTCCTGTGGGCAGGTGCCAGGTGCTGACTTAAAAGCGTTTTGTTAACCATCAGTAAGGGAAAAGGGTTTTGTTAATCATCAGTAATCATCATTTGCTAACTGCCACATCCCCTGCAACACTCTGTATTAGCTCACTGTACCACGGAGGGAGCAGAGCTGCATAAGTCGGCTCCCATCACAGGCGGAGTACATTTGGTATCACTCCGCCTGTGACGGGAGCCGGCGCTATAGAGGAAGCATTGGCTTATGTGGCTTTGCTCCCCCCACAGGGAGCAGGGCAGGAGAATGGCGTAAGCATGTTTCCTCCACACATGCATTAAGTTAAAGTTAAGTTAAAAATAAAGTTTAAAAAGGCTCTTTATGTTCCCCACTGGCCCTGGAAATAAACACAGTGAGGTCTTATTTTCGGGGCAGGTCTTATATTTTAGCAAGTACTGAAAATAGTACTAGGTCTTATTTTCAGGATAGGTCTTATTTTCGGGGAAACACGGTAGCAACTAGCTCAGCGAAAGAGACTGTTGGGCAACAGGCTGGGCCTTGCACTGGTAGCCACCTATTCAGTCTCTCCTCAACACCCACTGCAACTGGAAGATTGCAGAATGGGTCACCTCGGCACAGGGACAGAATCATGATACACCAGCGTGAATCTGTATCCCCACTTGGCAGGTTTTGCCTGCTGCCACACAGAGATTAAGTTACCTAGTCTCATCAAACCAGGTCTCCATCCTACAGACCAGATTAGCAATGATTATTTATTTAATGAATTATATTGTATTGGGCACTACCTTGTATTGTTTCTCTCCCTCTCTCTCTCTCTCTCTCTCTCACACACACACACACAGAGAGAGAGAGAGAGAGAGAGAGAGAGAGAGAGAGAGAGAGAGAGAGAGAGAAGGGAGAACTTCATGCACAAGCACATGCTATACAAATGCTGCCTTGTAAGATACCGAGTGAATGCAGGAGTTCTGCAGCACATT